GCTCCGGGCGCCGCCGGCCGCGCGCCCCGGCAGGCCGGGGGCGGGAGGGCAGAGGGCACCACCCTGTTTACAGCCGTAGCTCGGGGCCAGGGACCCCGCCCGGAAACGGTTTCCCAGGAGAGCGCCGTGAAGTGCGCACCCACCCGCGCCCGGGACGCCGGCCCAGCGGAGAAGGCGCCCGGCTCCGGCCGCCGCTCGGAATAAAACCGTCGCCACGGCTCCGGGGTCGGGCCCGCGCGAGTCTCCGCTTCTCCCCGGCTCGCCGCCCACGGGTGTTTCGTGTCCGCCCCCGGCACGACTGTGCTACGCACCTCACCCCCATCTCTCGGCTCCAGCGCTTCCGCAGACCACCCTCACGTGGCCGCCGCCTCCCGGCCAGGCAGTCCCCGCCGCCAAGGGCTGCGGACCCTCGCGCACTAAGGGACCCGGCGCCGGCTCCCACCCCGTGGGACGCCACCCCTGTCGGACCACCCAGCCCGCATTCCGTCCGGGGCCGGGGGGGGGGGGTGGCCACGAGCTGTCAGATGCCTAGTTTTCCACATGACGAAGCTTACCCTCACCCTTAAACATCCCCACTCACCCTTCAGCCTAGCTCCGAGCTGAATCAGTATTTAAAACGGGAGGAGTGGGGTGTAACGTCTTGATTTTTCTCCCTAATTTGCAAAAAAAAAAAAAAAAATTAAGACGCAGCTCTGCCCATCCACGTCGTCCCACCAAATGCAAGACTTAAGAAATAGAAATGCCCACCACACACCTGCTACGCAACCAGCCCTCTGGAAACCTGGAGACCCACCCAGCCCGCCTTCAGGAACCTGCGCCTGGGGTGGGGTGGGAGCGCGACAGTCCGGTCCCCTAAAGTAAGAGGGACTGAGGAGGACAGGCACCCCCTCGCCCCTCCCGAGAGCGCTGTCCTCCTGTTCCCCAGCCCCAGAGCAATCCGAGGCATCCTCCGTCCCTCCCGGCGAAAAGGAGGTAGCCAAAGGCCTGAGTGCCAGGGGTGTTTTTCCCTTTCAGAACCCAGACGCCGCGTCCTCCGCGAG